GGTTACCACAGGTTAGAAAGGTAGGGGAAAGGAACGATGATAGGCTGGTTAATAGGTACAAAAGTATAGTTAGATGAAGGAACAGATTCTAGTGTTTGATAGCATAGAAGTGTGACTATAATTAATAATGATTTATTGTATATTTCAAAATAGCTACAAGAGAAGGTTTAGAATGTTCCCAATACAAAGAAATGATAAAGTTTGAGGTAATGGATATTCCATTACCTTGATCTGATCATTACACATTGTATGCATGAATCCAAATATCACATGTATCCCATAAATATGTATAATTATTATGCATCAATGAAAAAGGACCTGGACATCAATAATGTTTGACTCTTTATTTGACAAAAAAATTTGCAAAAGACACATCAAATTATATTTTCTGTCATACAGAAAGATGTTTAGTTTTTATTATTTTGCCCAATTATCAACTAGTCCATATATCTTTAGCTTTCACTGAAGATAATCATTTGTCTAGAAATAGGGTTCTAGTATTATTAAGCTTTTAAAATTATTAAATTGACATTTGTTCTCTTTTCTACTATGATGCATTGTACCTCATTCTTTCTTACCCAAACCACAAAGAAAATATTCCACCAAAAAAGAGAAAAATATTAGTTTTATATAAGAACATGCTAATAAAAAAGAACATTTGAGGAACAAATTACCTCACTTCTCAGTACCCAGCTATGTTGCTTTCTACAGATCTGATGAAATCAGTTATCTGATTTCCAGTATCTAGCAATAGCTTTTTGTTTGTTTATTTTAGTCTAGAGTTCAAAAAAAATTCTGCCTGAAAATATGCAGACAGAGCAGTATCATCAGTGTCCATTCTAATCAGTACTGGCACAAGGAATAAAAATATTCCTTGGGGATGCCTGTCTACATACTTGTATTTAGATAATTACGTACTTATACTCTTCAAAATAATTAGAACGTGGGAAAATCTGTAATTTTCAATTGATAATTTCATTTTGCAATTCTCCCAGAATTTATGTCATTTTCGGTATACAACTGCTCATTGTATTAACTTTTATTATCAAGAAGATTGGAATGGTATGTAGACAAGAATATGGAAAAAACCTAGGTTTTGTGGTCAAAGAGATCTTGATATAAGTCCTGGTTATCATTTATATTAACTGGACCTCACTGAGCCTCTAAAACATTAGATCCAAAGGACAAAGTAAACCAAGAAAAATGAAAACATATGATACAGAAAACTAGAAGTCCAACAGGAAAGAAGCAAAAGAAGATCTCAAGATAATGCTTGCATTGGGCACAGAAGACAACTAATCCAGGCTAAAGAAATGCAACTCAAAAGAATACACATAAGATCCTGTCTAGGAAATATAAGGAGAAAATACAAAAACCAATTGTTTTGGTTCCTAAGAAGGGAGGAATGGACAAGATATGATCCAAAGCTGAAGGAAAAAGAGACATGAACAATTCTGCTCCTGAGACTCCTTGGAGGAGTCTTGAATATAGACAAAAGCAGGTGGTGGAACAATATTGACAGGATACCTAAGCAGTGTTGAGACTGCTCCACTGGTTTCTCTATTAATTTATGATCACCAGTCTGCTTTGTTGAGAATTTTCTTCAGCAGTACTTTGCTACTTAGATGCAGATTAACTGGTTATCTGGGTTATGTGGATTCATCAGAGTTGGGATTTCATTTCATTTGCAGAAGAGCAAAGATTATAGGTTAGAGATTTATTTATTTATTTGAGACAGAGTCTTACTATGTTGCCCTAGGCAGAGTGCCATGACATCACAGCTCACAGTAACCTCAAACTCTTGGGCTTAAGTGATTTTCTTGCCTCAGCCTCCCGAGTAGCTGGGACTACAGGCGCCTGCCACAATGCCTGGTGTCATTGTTGATTTTAGCTGAACCCACCAGCCTCAGTGTATGTGGCCGGTGCCCTATTCACTGAGCTATGGGTACTGCCAAGAGTATTATTTAAATAATGACTCTGAACTCAAACCAGGGTAAAGAAGAAAATAAGAAAGGATAATAGGTCTAAAGTGATTAGGATGATATCAGGGCAACATAAAGCAGAAAAAAAATAACAGCTGTTGTTATTACTTGGCACGGTCCTTCAGCAGTTAGTGATTTCATTATTCTAATTTGTAATCATTTCAATATATTTTTCTCTTCCAACATAGTGTGCTCTTTGAGAATGTGTAGTGTATCTCACTCATTTTTGCCTCTTTCCAAAGCCAGAAGATGGGACACTATGACTATTAAATGTATATGGTTATATCAATGAATCAGATCCTCATCTTCTAAACTATCTATATCATTTTGTTTAAAAAAAGATTTTTAACTAGGGATTATCACCTTAACACCAATTCACAAAAGTAGATATTTTGAAGAAACACCTAAATTTACTAAGTAGCTAGTAACAAGATTGAGGGGAGTTTTCCAATACGGTAGACCAGCAGTCCCCAACTTTTCTAGCACAAGGGACCAGTTTCACGGAAGACAATTTTTCCACAGACAGGGGGTAAAGGTAGGAGTGTTAGGCGGAACTCAGGTGATGATGCCAGAGATGACGGGTAGATGGTAGCTGTAAATACAGACGAAGCTGCTTTGCTCTATAACTGCTGCTGAACTCCTGTGTTGGGGTGGGGGATTGGGGAGAGCAAGGGATGTTGCAGGCAGGGAGGTGGTATTAGTTCATGTCTTGGGGCTAGGGACTGCAGCAATAGACTACAGAATTAGCATGAAGAAGAAAATAAGTTACGTTAATAAGTTTCATTACATGAAAACCGAGAGTATGTTTTCTCATTTTAAGAGACAATGCCTCTATTTGTAGGCATTGCATCTATTTTTAATCAATTTAGTACCGTACAATGTTTCATGAAATGAATAAACTAAAGCATGACCTTCCTAATTCTGATCAAACATATGCATGAGGACTTCAAAGTAAGTTCAAGAATACATAAGAATTTGAGCACAGGACAAGCCAATTAACTTCTTTGTTTTTGGTAGAGGGCAGAGCTTCAAATAATAAGGTCCCATTCCTGGTTTACTGAAGGCCATCTTTTCTGGCTATAGATTCAGTTTTTAAAAACACAGAATTTTATTTTTGCTGCTGCTTATGACAATATTTATTTTTAAATATTTATAAGGAAAAATACATGTATATACAGCTTTGATCTAATGGTAGATTAGACCTAGAATATAAAGAATCACAACTTTAAGTGCAAGCTGTGCTAAAAATCATCTTTACTAAACATGTTGGAAATTGAGTGTGTATTTCCCCTTAGAAACCATGTAAGTCAAGCCTCCAGTTAGTCCTTACAAAACTGAAGCACTATGTAACTCCTATTAGGACACTAAACATCTACACCTCTAACACCTTGAGGAACACGTATGGAGAGTATTGATCTACTCATCTGGGATGCCAAAACAACTCCTTGTCGCTATATTCTAATGCGTGTTCTTTTTTTTTTTTTTTTTTTTTTTAGACAGAGCCTCAAGCTGTCCCTCTGGGTAGAGTGCCGTGGCATTACAGCTCACAGCAACCTCCAACTCCTGGGCTCAAGCGAGTCTCCTGCCTCAACCTCCCAAGTAGCTGGGACCACAGGCGCCCGCCACAACGTCCGGCTATTTTTTTTTTGGTTGCAGCCATCATTGTTGTTTGGCGGGTCTGGGCTGGGGATTTGAACCTGCCAGCTTAGGTGTACATGGCTGGCGCCTTAGCCGGGTGAGCTATAGGTGCCGAGCCTCTAATGCGTATTCTAACCAGCAGAAGTCACAACAGAATAGAAGCTAGGTAATGGTAATTTCAGGCAGTGAAGAAAAAGGTAAGAAAAAAATTTGCAATAAGATACTTCTTGGTCCAGTTTGACATCATCCAACACTCTTTGTTTTCCCCTGAAGGTTCCATGAAATGTCCTGTCTCTACTTTCAAGGAAAGAAATTGTAGTTTCTGTCCAGACTTGATCTCTTGCCATTATAGAAAAAAGAGCACCTGCTCTTGCTGTCCCCCTGTTCTCAATTGCTGATTCATAAAGCAAGCAATTCAACTATAGCAGTGTGTTTGTTTAATAGTCATTAAGAACAACATATTTGAGAGGGATGGATTGACAATAAAAGAGAAAGAAAAAATAATAAAAATGTTTGGGTTTTTGACAAAACAGGAGAGAATGAGATACCATCTAAAGCAGAGCTTATTTGCCAGCAACAATAGCAAACCTGGAAATAAGTTTAAAAGGTTTTCTTCTCCTCCAACCCTTTCTCTTTACTTCAGTAAAAGTTAAAGATACATACAAGTGGTATAAACAGGGAAAGACAAGATCAAGGTTGGGTATAAAAACTGTAATCCAATCTGCCTACATCTCAGAATAATACCCACAGTAGAGACATCTTCATAAAACTACTAGACATTTTTTTCTTGTCCCATAGACAGCTCACAATCATAAAACATTAATGTATAATTTTACCTATAAATTAGAAATTATGAAATTTTTAAAAATCTAAGTTTTGTAAAATAAAGATAGTCAACATAATTAGCATATATTAGACATAGTTGGAAGGCCAAAAAAAAAATACCTACTCTGAGATATCAGTCTTTCTCTGATGATTCAGAAGATATTCTGCTTGCCTTCAATACTTCATTGATACTAAGGACTTGAGTCTCAGAAAATAGCTTAAAAGCAGTTTCCCAGCTTAAGAGTTATTATTTCATTTCTTTTATAACAATCTTGTCTTATATCTTATATATCAATAACCACTACATAGCAAATATCTGCCATAGTTGGGGAAATACTTTACTGTGATTTGGCTTTAAACATTTTCTTACACTAAAAATTAATTCTGAATTATCTGAAACAGAAAATACCCAACCAGTATCAAGTATATTCCAATAAAATGCAAAGTAGCTTGACTACTATCCTATAGATGCAATTCATATACCCAACACCAAACTTGTGAGTTGTTTTTGTTTTTAATAAAGCAAAATTACCACAAATATTAAAACTGTATTACCTTCATAATGTTAACTAAATCTGTTTGATAGTAGCGATCTTGATGTGCATTTGCTGCTGCTAGAGTAAGAAGATAATCATTTCTTGCATGGGTAGCTTTGGAATTACACTCAGATCGCCGAGCTTTTAACTAAAACATAATAAAAGAAAAAAATCAATGTAAGCTGGCATTGCACTATAAAACACATAAGAATACTACTTTTAGTTGACAATCAATGGCTTCCCACCAAAAATAAAGGTTATCATGTGGGAAAAACATTTATGTGTATGTAACAATTACTCATCACTAATGAGGAATGAAACAGTGATGTCTAGACCTGTTACACATGGTAAGAGCATTTCCAAATATTTGTTAATTATACTTAATATATTTTCAAGGCTTTCTAGAAAACTTCAAAATATCTTGCTCATTTTATTCAGAAGGGAAAATAAAAGTTTCCAAAATTAAGTACCTTATCTTTGAAGTCATGGGTAAATCTAGCAGAGTTAGAAAATAGTTTTTAAAAAATCAACATTCCTGGGCTGGGAGCAGTGGCTTTTACCTATAATCTTAGCACTCTGGGAGGTGGAGGCCAGTGGATTGCCTGAGCTCAGGAGTGAGACCTTGAGCAAGAGTGAGACCCTGTCTCTAAAAATAGGTGGGCATTGTAGCAGATGCCTGTAGTCCCAGCTACTAGAAAGGCTGAGGCAAGAGGATCTCTTGAGCCCAAGAGTTTGAGGTTGTTGTGAACTATGATGCCACAGTGCTCAACCACAGGGCAACTGAGTGAGACTCAGTCTCAAAAAACAAACAAACAAAACAAAACAAAAAAAAAACCTCTCCCAATGTGCCAGAAGAACTACATGCTAGTTGGGAGCCTGAAAGCCAATGTCAGGTCACTAAGCTTAGTCATTCCACAGATGGAAGGTTTCACAGGCAAAACTCACTTGCATCTGGCCCAGAATATCTGCACAGGGGTATAAGTCTAAATGAAACAGATTTTGTAGAGCTTCCTAAAACCCCTGGACTAACGAAGTCTTCTGGATTAAGAGCTAAAAACAGGCTAGCTTAGCATAAGATATAGAAACTTATCCCTATAGCACTCTTGAGAAGTAAGCTGTGTCCACAGTGCTAACATCTAAGTGAAAAACTTTCAAGAACTATGGGCGGTACCTGTGGCTCAAGGAGTAGGGCGTTGGCCCCATATACTGGAGGTGGCGGTTTCAAACCCAGCCCCAGTCAAAACTGCACAAAAAAAATAATCTTCCACGAACTAGGACGGAAAGTTATGAGTTAATGACTTTGAAATGCTTCTGTAAGGTAGAAATAATCCAACTCCACCCCTCAAAAAGATTTGTTTTATAAACTTAGAGGTTTTTCTTAATTGTGAAACACACTTGACTCACCTTTACACTTGCCTTCTGTAAACTGATTCTTGATTGAAAAAGACTAAGTTTAGATCTATAATAAAAATAGAAAAATATGTTTAATAAAATTATCAAATTATATCATAATAAAATTACCAAATATATAACTAAATTATTTTATTTATTTTTTACTTTTTTTGAGACAGTCTTTTTTTTTTTTTTTTTTTGATGGTTTTTCAAGTTAAGCCCCCTGGGTAGAGTGCCATGGCATCACGCTCACAGCAACCTCCAACTCCTGGGCTCAAGCGAGTGTCCTGCCTCAGCCTCCCAAGCAGCTGGGACCACAGGCGCCCGCCACAACGTCCGGCTATTTTTTTTTGGTTGCAGCCATCATTGTTGTTTGGCGGGCCCGGGCTGGGGATTCGAACCCGCCACCTTAGGTGTACGTGGCTGGCGCCTTAGCTGTTTGAGCCACAGGCGCCGAGCCAAGACAGAGTCTTACTTTGTTGCCTTAGGTAGAGTGCCATGGCATTACAGCTCACAGCAACCTCAAACTCTTGGGCTTAAGATATTCTCTTACCTCAGCCTCCCAAGTGAGTGGGACTACATGTGCCCCCCACAACACCCAGCTATTTTTTTGTTGTAGCTGTCACTGTTGTTTACCTGGCCCAGGCCGGGTATGAACCTGTCAGCCTCAGTGTATGTGGCTGGTGCCATAACCACTGTGCTACAGGTGCCGAGCCTAAATTATTTTAAGTGATTTCTTTTCCAAGACAACTATTTTAAAACAAAAAATGGAAAACCAAGAGCAATTATTATTTTCCTTTATTTTGCTACAGGAAGAATTTAATATTACAGTAACATATTAGAAGTATTAGAACTAATACAAATATACTGAATGACAAAACAATTGACAAAGAATACACCATAATATATTGGTGTCTCCTAATGAACCAAGAATCATCATTCTATAGGTTATTCTCAGAATCATACAAATGTACATTAGTTTTTGCAAGAACGGTTAGAGAAACCCAAGGCTAACCTACCTATGGAGGCAGGGGTAAAGCAGGCTTTCAGCGCTGTGTGTAAAAGGGTGTAACACCAGGAATGTATAGCTATAGGCTCTAGAAAGCCCTTACTTCCATTATTTCCCCCAGTAAAAGTTCTTCTTTCTTGGGTAACTGTCTGTGTGCACCTTCCACTTTTAAGGATATTCTGAGCGTACTAAGTCTTTGAACCCTTCTTCCCTGGATGATTTTGATTCTATTTAATCTTCTCCCACTCTAGTATTCTTTTATTATTATTATTAAATCATAGCTGTGTTAAAGACTTAAATTTAAGACATGAAACTATAAAAACATTAGAAGAAAGTGTGGGGAAAACTCTTGAAGAAATAGGCCTGGGCGAAAATTTTATGAGGAGGACCCCCCGGGCAATTGAGCAACATCAAAAATATACTACTGGGACCTCCTCAAATTAAAAAGCTTCTGCACAGCCAAGAACACAGTAAGAAAAGTAAGTAGACAACCCTCAGAATGGGAAAAGATATTTGCTGGATATGCTTCCGACAAAGGTCTTATAACCAGAATCCACAGAGAACTCAAGCGTAGTAGCAAGAAGAGAACAAGTGATCCCATCGCAGGGTGGGCAAGAGACTTAAAGAGAAACTTCTCTGAAGAAGACAGACACATGGCCTATAGATACATGAAAAAATGCTCACCATCCTTAATCATCAGAGAAATGCAAATCAAAACCACTCTGAGATATCATCTAACACCAGTTAGATTAGCCCATATCACAAAATCCCAAAATCACAGATGCTGGCGGGGTTGCGGAGAAAAGGGAACACTACTACACTGCTGGTGGGAATGCAAACTAATACATCCCTTTTGGAAAACCATATGGAGAACACTCAGAGATCTAAATATAGATTTACCATTTGATCCTGTAATTCCTCTGTTAGGTATATACCAAGGAGACCATAAATCATGCTATAATACAGATATCTGTACCAGAATGTTCATTGCAGCCCAATTCACAATCGCTAGGTCATGGAAGAAGCCCAAGTGCCCATAGACCCATGAATGGATCAATAAATTGTGGTATATGTACACCATGGAATACTATACAGCCACAAAGAAAGATGGAGACCTTGCCTCCTTCATATTTACATGGATGGAGCTGGAAAATGTCCTCCTTAGCAAAGTATCTCAAGAATGAAAGAAAAAGTATCCAGTGTACTCAACACTACTATGAAACTAATTGTTAGCTATCTTAGGAAAGCTACAATCCAAATGGAGCCCTAGAATACGGGGAAAGAAGAGGGGGGAGGGGAGGGGGAGGGTGGGTGAAGAGAATGATATCGTAGGGATCATGCCTATAGTTTATTCTATTTGGGTACAGGTGAATTTGTCTAAAGGTTGAATATAAATGTCTTAGCATAACAACTATGAGAAAGACATGATGGCTATGTTGGCCACCTGGATGAGAGTTTTCCAAACTGCATATAGAAGTAACACACTGTATCCTATGAGAGAATTAATGTACACAATTATGATCTAATAAAAAAATGAAAAAAAAATCATAGCTGTGTACATTAATGTAATCATGGGGCCACTCTAATATTCTTATCTCCCTCAATCCTTTTCAGTTTGGGAAGGGAACAATAATCTAACAATCTGTACCAAAATTATGTTGGTTTTACCCAAATAACTAGAGATAACTACATGGAGAGTGTCAACAAACATTAAGAAACAAGGAACTCCCAGGATTAGTGATTTTTTTTTTTTTAAGCTGCAATGTTTGTCTTGACTGCAGTGTCATGGTGATTGTTATGGGAGAATTCAATGCATGTGCTGGCAGCTATGCCCCTTGAAGTCAGATTGAACCAACTTGGGACTGGAAGGACCAGCCAGTATCTGCAGAGCCAGTGTGAAGAGGATAGCAAGAGCAGCTTTTTAATCTTTCTAACAAGAGAGAAAACACTCAGAAATGAACACATGTGCATCCCAACTACTTGCCCACTGTTAAAAAAAACAAAACACTGGTTTAGGATATTCGTGTTATTTCTACTTTATCATATTCATATTTCATGGGGTTCTTGTTTTTATTAATCAGATTCCTATTTATTTTAATCTAGAAAAGCAAAGACCACAGACTCAAATCTTTTTGTTGTTGTTTTTTTTTAAAAGACAGAGTCTCATTCTGGTGCTCTGACTGGAGTGTTGTGGCATTATAGCTCATAGCAACCTCAAGTTGTTGGGCTCCAGCGATCCCCTTGCCTCGGTTTTTTTCTATTTTTAGTAGAGACAGGGTTTCACTCTAGCTCAGTCTGGTCCCAAACTCCTGAGTTCAAGCAATCCACTCACCTCGGCCTCCCAGAGTGCTATACAAACTCAAATCTGAAAGCCTGTTTTGGGTAAGAAAGACTGTTTAGGGTATTTCCAGTTCTTTCTTTTTTTTTTTTTCTATAATCATTACCCAAATAACTTTTTGCTTTATTTGCTACTCTTTATATGCTTCTTGTGTGGTATTATGGTAGGTATTCGTGATAGAGAAAGACAGTACTTTCCCCCCAAAGATTACAATCTAGAAAAAGTAACAAGATTTTTACAAATTATACACTCCACAAATACTGGACTATACTGTGTGCTACCCTTCAAATGTTAACATTCTCTGAGGTTCTACACTCAACTTTCATCTCATTGTGTATATGATTTCATAGGCAACTGACCCCCAAAGTGAAATCTTCAGGCTTAAATTCTCATCTCAGCTATTTGACTACCTAACAAACATATTTATTTAACCCAGTGTCTCCCAAGCGCTACAGAATATACATATTCAAAATGAATTCACTATTTCCTTCAAATTGTATACTTTTTCCTTCTATGGTCTCCCCTAACGTGCATTACTTACCATCTATTAAATCATCTATCAAAACCATAATATAAGCAGTCCAGTTTCATTTCCACTTCCTGATCTTCCTTCCCATTTCTAAAACTTCAAAAAATCATATTTATTCTTCTAGATTCTGTCCAAATGTCACTTCTATAAAGCCTTCCCTTATTGTTAGGCAAAATTAATCTGTATATTTTCTATGGTTTCATAACAGTATTTTCACATTACTATTATAAATTATTAGTGACTAGGTAAGTGACTTTAGGCATTTAATTTCTTCAAGTTTACTGTTAATAAATAAACATAAAGTTACTTTTAAACACATTTTCTAATTCTTGGTTTGAAACTCCTTGAGGGCACAAAATTTAGCTTATTCATCTCTGTACCCAATATAAATACACAACAAACACTTAGTGAATGAATGGAGAGAAAGAGTCAGTTCTTACTCTGTGTTGAATTAATTATCCAGAAAAGTTACACATTGAAATAATATGTCTAACTTGTTGTATAACCTCTGCTTTTGGACCATGTTAGAATTATGATCAGCTCTGTGAATTGAACCATCAAATCCACATGTTTTAGGAATAGCCTAAAAAGGCAGTGGTCTGCCTTTTTTACACTGTGAGCTCTAGCTAAATTAGGTATAGACACTGTAGGAATCTGTCAATTCTCTGTTCTAGAATCTGGGGGAGTTTAAAAAACAAGTGCCTAAAAACCATGATGATTGGATATTCCCAATGGAGATCTCCTAACTTAAAAACTTGAGGTCTTATTGAGAAGACGGGCTCACTGACTCTATGAAAGTACAGAAAAAATTTATATGCTCAAAATTTAAAATAATAAAGACAATAAACAAAACTGGGAAAATATTAAATATGTTTTCCTGTAACACCTAGTACTTGATGAGTATTCATTTACCATCTCTTAGCACTAAATAAACTTTCTAAGAGCCCTTGCATTTTCACAAGACACTAACAAGGTTACTCAAATTTCCTGTAGATAAAAATCATATTAAAAAGACAGTCCCCCTTCCTTGCTGGTCTGTCTGCATAAGTGTTCAAAGCTTTTCTGATTTCATGACTAGAAGTTCAGACTCCTATATTCTACATCAGCCAGCACATTGAACTAAAGTCTCAGCTCTTCTTCTCGTAGATCTTTTCGAGTATAGTTCTCTATCAAAGGTTTATTTTTTCTCACCAACTTTCTACCATTCCTCAAGTTATCACTGCAAAAATCTCTATTACTTTCCTCTTATTCTCAAAATAAAGGACTTGAAATTCACATATATTAAAAGGGAAAGTCACACAATTGCTAGAGTGTACATAAAACAGTATATTTATTGGAATTCCAGGTAAAAGAAAAAAACAGTGCCTGGGGCAGGCTTTCTATATGGAGGTCAGTGTTCTTGTTTACTTGATGCATCCACAGCCCTCCAATGGCATCCCGCAGATCACAGAAATTTCCAACTACAATTGATTTAGAGCCTAGCATGAGAAAAAAGAAATTCTTTTTTTTTTTTTTTTTTTTGAGACAGAGCCTCAAGCTGTCCCCCTGGGTAGAGTGCCATGGCATTACAGCTCACAGCAACCTCCAACTCCTGGGCTCAAGTGAGTCTCCTGCCTCCGCCTCCCAAGTAGCTGGGACCACAGGCGCCCGCCACAACGCCAGGCTATTTTTTGGTTGCAGCCGTCATTGTTGTTTGGCGGGTCCGGGCTGGGGATTCGAACCCGCCACCTTAGGTGTACGTGGCTGGCACCTTAGCCGGTTGAGCTATAGGCACCGAGCCAAAAAAATGAAGTTCTTAAACCCTAATATTCAGACACCACAGCAACTTTAACTAGAATTTTGATAAACTTTCAAGTCTGTAATTATAATGTTCATTTACTGTCTTTCCTTTTCAAAAAAAACAAATGCATCAAATATTCCCATTTTGTTATATTAATTTGAGTAAAGATAAGCCAATATAAAAAATGTGATCAAAAGTCAAATGAAATCACCACTACCTGAGAATGAGTCTATGCCTGTATTAATAGAAACAAAGCATTAACAAAAATAACATCATCTGCATAATCATTCTTCAGAAATGCTAAAACACATACTTACTTTGCTTCGATGTCAGCTTTCTCTCGTACTGCCTGTGCCATCTGCTCTGTCTCAAAGTACTTCTTTTTGCCTTTAGCTAAATCTTTCACTGTCTCTTGTAATTCAGTTTGGATCTTTGTCAACTGGTCTACACACTGTAAAACACAAAAGTACAATTATTACAATTTTAGCTTTTAGGCTTACAGAAAATGACACATTATGCCTTCAGGATGGAAACCAAGGAGAAGAATCAGTACTTTTAAGTGTCCTTCAAATTACTAAATAAAATCCAGTAAACAGCTGGTACTCTCTCAAGTACTACATTCAGTGTTGTTACAGTTTGCCTTATAACTGTGCTTTGAGAATTTGAGAGCTGTTGATGACTGATACTAAGGTAAGGCATAAAAAGATCTACTATGAAAATGCTCTTATTGGTGGAGATATAATAGTAATAAAGGCAAAAGAATAATTCAATTCTATATTTCTTCATAATCTTAATAAAGTCTCTACCTGTTTGGGTAACTGATAGTACAAAGGGTACTGAAGAATTCACCCCTTGGCAAGGAGTGACATCTGAGAAGTCTGAATTGATAAGCCCAAGATGAAGGACAGAAACAGGAAACTTGGGAATCACAAACATTTATTATTTATTTATTGTTCATTATTTATTTAATAATGTTCTTTAATCCTTTGACCACCACAATCCTATGTTAAGAAAAGCCTTGATGTGTATATCCAAAGAAAAGGAAATCACTGCCTCATAAGATAAATGTACTCTCATGTTCACTACAGCATTATTCACAAAAGTAAGATAGGGAAACAACCAAAGTGACTGTTGATGAATAAATGGATAAAGAAACTATGGCATACAGGGTGTCCATTAACTTCGTGCACAATTTAAAATAGTTGTAACTTTGTAAGTACATGTGATTTGATTGCACTGGGTTTCTTTTCATGGGTACATTTCTTTTCAAATGTTAGTGAAAACTAACATTTATTCAACCAAACCTCAATCTTTAGAAGACTTACAAGCTAGGATAACTAATATGATTGCTGGTATTACTGAAAATCAGCTTGAAAATGTTTTCTGAGAACTACAGAATCATATTAGCATTTGTAATAGAAATGATGGTAGGCATGTTGAAAATTAACAAGGACAATAAAAAAATGTGTTTCTTAGACCAGGCTTGGTGGCTCCAGCAGAGGCCGAGGCAGGTGGATTGCCTGAGCTCACAGGTTCAAGACCAGCCTGAGCAAGAGCAAGACCCTGTCTCTAAAAATAGCCAGGTGTTGTGGCAGGCACCCGTAAGCCCCAGCTACTCGGGAGGCTCAGATGAGAGAATTGTGTGAATTCAAGAGTTGGGAGGCTGCAGTGAGTAATGACGCCACGACACTACCAAGGGTGACAAAGTGAGACTGTCTCAAAAACAAACAAACAAAAAAAGTGTTTTTTTCCCTTTCTAATCTTTTGTACAGTTTCTTTCAATCACATATGCTTTCAAAGTTACAACTTTTTTTTTTAACCTCTTAAAAGGAATTTTATTGATGGCATATTATGCAGACATTAATATTTCTCAAAAAAAAGAGAAAGAATTAAATTGCTTTGCTTAGCAATCTTAATTATCTGGAATAATTAGAAAGTTACAACTATTTTAAATTGCATATAAACTTATGGATACCCTGTATATACACAATGGAATATTTATGTCAAAGAAGGAGATCCTGACATTTCCACAACATGGATAAACCTGGAGGACATTATCTAAGTGAAATAAGCCAAAAAAAGACAGAAAAATACAGCATGATCTTACTGACCTGTAATATATTACAAAAAGAAAAGAAAAAACGTTGAATGCACAGAGGTAGAAAATAAAGTGCTAGTTACTAGGGGTTCAGTGGGGGAGCAAATAAGGCGATAGTACAAAGTTGCAAATATATAGGATGAGTAAGTCTAGAGATTTAGTTGTGGACAACATGAGTATATTTACGAATATTAATATTGTATTATATTTGAGATTTTTTTTAAGGCATCAATACTTATTTCTTTACTGAGAGAAACCAATAACAATAGTTTCCAAATTATTTTCCAGATAAGGTACTATTATGAAAACAAAACTCCACTATGCCTCTTCTAATGGGTTCCACGTTGAAAGACTTGGTGAGGCTTTTGGGGGGAAATATTTTTGTCAATTTTTTTTGTTTGCAATACTTTATTATTTAAATATTATAAAAATAATACATATTGACTGTTTAAAAATGTACTAATAGCAGAAAACAATAAGGTAAAAAGTGAAAGTTCCTCTTCCCATCAATTGCCAGTAAACATCTTGAGGTCAAGGCTTATCATACTTTCTTATGTTATCTTTAAGAAATAAGCATATATAAGCTCATGCTTACATCCACTTTTACAAAAACAAAATATGCTATACAGACTAATTTTTAACTTAATATAATTTTTTAAAATTTCACATTAGTATAAGGGTACGAACGATTAGGATACATTTTTACATTAGTTAGGTAAAGTCCAAGTTGCAGTTGAGCCTTCTCCCAGGATGTATGCCATACACTGCTACATTGCGCCATTGTGCCATTAGCTGAGAGCTTACTAAACCTCTCCCTTCTCCCTTTTCACCCCTTCCTCCCTTGCCACCTTGAATTTAATTGTGTTTTTCTCTTGTGAGCATGTAGTTGTTCATCTACTGGTTTCATATCAGTATTGAGTACACTGGATGCCTGGTTTTTCATTCTTGATATATTACTTAGGACAATGTTCTCCAAGTCTTTCCAGATAAATACAAAAGATATAAAGTCTCCATTTTTTTTAATGGCTGAATAGTAACCCATGGTATACATATAACATAGTTTATTTATCCATTTGTGAGTTGATGGGCACTTGGGTTGTTTCCACATTGTTGGAATTTGTGAACTGAACTGTGTTAAACATTCTAGTGCAAATGTCCTATGGTAATTTTTTTACTTCTGGGTAAACAGGATTTTTTTACTTCCCAGTAACAGGATTGTGGGATCAAATGAAGGTCTACGTTTAGCTATTTCAGGATTCTCCATACTTCTTTCTAAAAAGGCTGTATTAGCTTGCAATTCCACCAATAATAGGATTCTCTTCACAACCACACGAGCATCTGTAGCTTTGGGACTTTGTGATGTGGGTTATTCTCACTGAGGTTAGGTGATATCTCAAGGTGGTTTTGATTTGCATTTCTCTGATGATTAGGTATGATGAGCATTTTTTTCTTTCTTTCTTTTCCTTTTTTTTTTTTTTTTGGCCATTCTTCTGTTCATTTTTCTTGCCCACTAATAAATGGGATCGTTTGCTCTTTTCTGTAGATCCTGGTTAGTTATTAGCTCTTTGTCAAATTCATAACATGCAAATATTGTCTCACATTCTGAAGGTTATCTATTTAATTGTGCCCTTAGCTGTACAGAAGTTTTTTAGCTTGATCAGGTCCCATTTATTTATTTTTATTGTTGCTGTGAATGCCAATGGGATCTTCATGAAATCTTTTCCCAGGCTGATATTATCAAGAGTTTTTCCCACACTGTCTTCCAGATTTTCTATCATTTTGTGTCTTAGATTTAAATCTTTTATCCAGTGTGAATCAATTTTTGTAAGTGATGAGAGGTGCAGGTCCAGTTTCGGTCTTTTACACTTAGCTAATCAGTTCTCCCAGCACCACTTATTAAATAGAAATTATTTTCCCTAATGTAGGCTTTTGTTTAGTTTAACAAAGATCAGATAGCAATATTAGGCTGGTTTCGTTTAAAAGTTTTCGATTCTATTCCACAGATGTATGTCACTATTTCTGTGCCAATACCATGCTGTTTTCATCACTATGGACGTGTAGTATAACCTGGTAAAGTATAAGTCTGGTAAAGTGATGCCTCCATGTTTGTTTGTACTTCTAAGAATTGTGTTGTCTATGGTTTTTTTCTGGCGCCATATGAAATGAAGAACTTTTTCTCAAGCTCTTCAAAGTATAATGTTGGTGTGTTAGTGGGGATTACATTAAATCTATAAATCGCTTTGGGTAGTAGAGACATTTTAACAATGTTGATTCTTCCCAGCCATGAACATGGTATCCTCTCCCATTTGTCAACATCTTCTGCTATTTGTTTTCTCAGGGTTTCATAGTTTCTCTGTAGAGCTCCTTAATATTCTTTATTAGGTATATTCCCAGGCTATTTCATTTTCTTTGAAGCTACTATAAAGGGCATGTGTCTCTGATTTGATCCTCAGCTTGACTGTTATTGACATATATGAAGGCTACTGATTTTACATTCCAGGATGTTACTGTATTTCTTGTTCACTTTGAGGAGTGTTATGGTTGAGTTCTTGGGGTTTTCTAAGGAATTATATCATCAGAAAAGAGTGAAAGTTTGACCTCTTTTGTCCCTATTTGGATACCCTTGATATCCTTTTTTTAAAAAATTATTTTGTTTTGTTTTTGTATAGTAGCCTTTTATTTTTAATACCTATTATGCCATGAATTCATAGGGAAAAGTTTCCAGCAGCTGAGGGCGGTGCCTTTCTATTAACTATGACAAAGCTTGCTATGCCTACAATACCATGAATTCATAGGGAATAGGTTCCAGCACCTTATGTTCCTATTCACTGGTTCTCTTGGTTATCCTGTACACCTATTATGTCATGAATTCAGGAGGAATAGGTTCCAGCACTTTATGTTCCTGCTCAACTGGTTCTCTTGGTTCTCCTGTGTGCTATAATGTATGCCTATTATGCGACGAATTCATAATGAATGGGTTTCAAGAACTTAGGCTCCTTTCCATTGGCTCTCACAGAGTGTGCTTCTCTGGGTGGAGCAGACTGGTGCTTCAGTTGAATCCCAGTACCATTCTCTTTGGCTTCCTTGTTTTTCTGATCATTTTCCTTCACGTGTTTCAAGAAGCTATCTCAGCTCTTAGAGTGCTTAATATGCTCAATATGAACATTCATCCTCTTATCAAGAATCTTGCCCTTGTTTGTTTACGACAATGCCAACGGCATGCCGGGTAACACTGTAGACTCTTCCAGTTTTGCCATGGTAACATTTGTGTGGCATGCCTTTTTGAACAGTACCCATTCCCTTGATGTCTACAATATCACCTTTCTTGTAGATTCACATATATGTGGCCAAAG